GAAAAGAAATGTTACAAGTTTAAGATAATCTCGTCCGCAAAGAGTTAAACATCTTACAAACGTGTGAAAAGGAATACTTTTAATCGTCGACCCAGTGAAAATCCGGAAACGTAGGAGTGTCGTCTGAAGAATAGCCGCGGTTCAAATAAAATCCCTATTAACAACAGATCTGCGGGAGGATGGAGGGGTAGTGGGTTCGCAGCGGTCACGAAACGAAAGGGTGAACGAGTTCTTTCAACCCCCTTTATCGGTCGTGGCCACATGTACGGTTTCCAAGCAGAAGCAGCCAGAAATAAATCTGCCTAGGCTGCGGTAGTACAGGGTGCTATGTCCCACGGCGCGGCGAGTGCTTCGCAGACGCTGAAAAAGCAGTTAGATAACGTATCCGAAACCGCGAATAGTGCAGTAGACAACTCATAAGCACTTGTTCTGCCTTTCCTCGACGATTCAAGAGATTTTCTCTTTCCTCCAACCAAGTCTTTTACGTCAGCGTCTACCAAATTACTTTGACCACTGAGACAGGGTTCAAAGGGATTACTAAGCATTCTCCAATTTATCAAATAATTAATCCTACTAAAATATTCAACGTTAAATTTACTATATAGAATAAACCGATGACATTTCAGATAGTTTATTTTATTAGGTAAATTAACCTCTTGCTCTATGATTTCTTTCTGAACTATGATCGATCGGAGTGCTTTGTTATTAATAATTCATCGAAAACAAGAGAAAATTCCAGTCTTATTCTATGTCAACGCGTGCTCTAAGGTAAAGTCTTTGATAACAGAGGAATGATATATGATTTGCATTCAAATAAATTAAATAATATTTATGTTTGTTAAATTCTATTTAAAATCTTCACCACGATTCTGCAACAATATTGTAGAACAAAGGGTTAACACTAGATTTACGAACGTTTATTGTACAGTTTATTCTATCGCTTTTAAAGAAATTGATATTCGTTCGTGTAGATTTTGGAAATTAGAGTTTTAAAAGTAGACAATTAGGGTACATGTTTGTGTATCTGCATCAATAAAAATCGACCCAAACGTTTACCAAATAATGTTTATAAAAGTAAATATCAGTCAAATTGACTCGTTCCGTAAATCTAGCGTTAAAAATGTCCGTGCGATTTTTGTGGAATCTTTACGTAGATATTTGATGTCTAAATGTTTTGTTAAATGACTTTGTCGTTGGCAAACTCGAACTCATTCTTATAACCCTTTAGGTTTTGTTTTATTAACTGATTATCGCGTATTTTATTCATTAAAACTATAATAAAAGAAATATTTGTAAATGTAAAAATAATAATTGATTGAAACTCTGAACTTCTGATGTTAAGATGACTGAGATGGAGAAGCGAAAGAAATTCTCAAGTTTAAAGAGATTTTTAGAAGGCAAGAAATAAACTGATCGATCGTGAGAGTTTAGAGAGCGTGGCGAAAGTTTTGAACTTGGGTTAGCGAAGATTTATCGATGGCTGATACTAAAAGTCTTAAATCGTAGAGTAGCTGACTATAGAGGAAATAGTTCAAAAGAAGTAGTGTTAGATTTCTGTTACTGAATAGCTACCTTTGCTTGAACGAGAACACTGTAAATTATTACCTTGCTTAAATACTGATAATCTGATTGTTGCGGAAATGTCGTGCATTTATGTATGAATTTTTATGCATTTCTGATATTACAAAGATCTGTGAAATACAAGACAATCTATATTTTAATAACAATTACGTATTTTAAAACAACCTACATGTCAGTAACAATAGTAACTTTTGTTTCATACTCATCAAGAGAATTCTAGCTGAGAAAAGAAGTTTTAACCTTTTCATAATTTTTCAAAGACAATTCACTTTTTAAATCGAATTTTCATTGACGATTTCCGTAGCAGTCAACATCTTAACATGCTGAAGACCGATGTTTTCCACGTGGAATTTAGTAATCTCTTGATGTGTTCTGGCATAAAAATGAAAATAACCAGATCCATGAATACAAATAATATATCTACAAAGTATGCCGCATAAAACAAGTATTATCTTCTGTAGCAACAATACTAAGAAAAAAATGTATATGCAATTTAAATTGTTTTAAAGGGCACTTCGGTATAAAGATACAGACGTATAAAAAATAATAACAGAATAACATTAAAATAATATGATGAAAACTGATATTTGTAAAAACATTCTTCTATCTCATTCGTTCTTTAAAACAAAAATATAGACAATTACAATACATATAAATATATTATACCACGTGAAAACAAGAATCTATATCTGCGGTCATCAAGGTGTTAAACAACCAATTCCAACCTTCAATCTTCTCAAAGATTCTATCCTCTTTCAGTCTATAAAGAAATCATTCTACACGTAGTAGTCTAAAAAATAGCGACATAGAATAGAATTAGGCACCCACTTTACTTAGTACTGCTTCTCCACACCTCAATCTACTTACATAAATACACAACCCCGTAGATAAAACCCTATCGTTACCTCAAAATCCAAAGAAAAGTGCAAGAAAAAACGAAAGACAGGTAGGACATAAAAATCACATCATCAAGCAATTACGGCCGAACACCTGGATCTATGACCTTCTAAATAATGCTTTGCCAATCGTTCGTCTGTTGGGTAGCAATGAATCTTCTTTTCGATCACGTAGATCCATGTATTAGACCGTGATTCGCTTTCAAACACGTATTCAAAATCATACACTCTTAAAAAATAATGGCCTGGCTACGATCTTTCCACCATTTCCCACGACTAATCGAACTAATTATGTCTATATTCGCAGAAAGCGGACCTGGCGGTCGGCTCGATGACTATCAATTACGCCCGCGAGAGCGTGATTGACTTCACGAAGCCGTTCATGAACCTCGGCATCTCTATTCTCTTCAAGGTAAGACACAAAAATACAGTAAGGCCTGGGCTACACGAGCGTATTACACGCAGTGTGCCACACGCTATGATTTTTCTGCTGACATAGAATTTTGACCAGCGTTTTACAAGCGTTTTACACGGTGGATATTACATAAAATAAATGATACATTGCATTGTCATGGTGTTTTTGCTTCCTTCGCATGGCCCAAGTGACAAGCGACGTTTTGAAAATATATAACAGCGTACTTGACGCTGCTGAACGCTCGTATAGTCTATTATCTACGTATTTATGCTATTCAACATTTTTATTCGACGACAGTTATCTTACGAATTATAATTGTTTTCAAATAATTTGGAAGTTCTGGTCGTCGGTGACTGCCGTGTTAGAAATGAATTTATAGCAGTTAGTAAGTTAGTAATGATTAGTTTAATGAATGGAATTGGTATTAGCAACAAGTTATGTTTATGCCGTTGGTATCGAATAAAACAAAATTGTTTTATAAAAAGGTTCTTTGAGTTTAAATTCTGTTTTATGAACCCGCACAAACTTGTTCTGGTGCCTCAGCAAAGAAAACTCATGTAGGCCAGGCCTAAGACCTTGTAGTTCACCACATTACTGATTGCCGTTTCGCTTATTCGCGGTTGAAAATTCGTAATCTGTTTCGTAAACTATGGAACGATCAAAGTTAGTTTTCTTTCTTATCTGTTTTTTCGTTCCTTCTTATCGCTTGGATCATTCGTGGTTCAAATTGACTTATTAATTCATGTTTGAACTTATTAACTCCTCAGGTCACATTTTGTTCTTTATTTTTCTTATTGTTAATACTTGTTCCCTTCATAGCTTCATATTAACGGCTATTAGAAGAATTCTGATGACAATCAATTTTTTAAATAACTTCTAAATAAATGTTTCCATTTGCATTTGTAATATTCCAATTCTTATCGTATAACTTGAAGCTCTTCCTTGTCTAATTTTCACCTTTATGAATGGACATTAATTTAACTGTTACGTATGGAAGTCTGGAAATAATCGATTAATGTTAAATATTCTCATTTGTAGCAATTAATAAACAAATTTATTTACCTATTTAAATATCTCTACATAGCAACGATATCAACTATATAACGAAAATTTCACTGGTTTCAAAATTCACGATATTTCATACAAAGTTCTGTGAGACTACGCACTTAAAGGTCAATAACTCATTCATGTAGAAAACGAGTTAAACTCGCGTTGTATTGTCGAAGCGAAAATGCATATGGATGAGTCTGACTCACTCAATACTATAGCGTTTTAAGACTTACCGGTCGAGAATTTTCTATTAACCCTTTGCAGATGAGACTGTCTTAAACTGCTAACATTTATTTTCATAAAGAACTGAATCAAAGTCTTAAATACTGGAAGAAAAAAAAATCACATGTTAATCACTCGTTAGTTGAATAATTAGATTATTCATCTGCAATTTTCGAGTTTAGATATCGAAACTGGACGTTGCCATTACAGCGACATTCGACCGCAATGGGTTAATATTGCAGAAAGTGAGTCAACGCATTCTGTCAATGACATACTCGACATGAATTCCATGTGCATGAATGAAATCCTTGATCATGGTTTTCGTCTTTCTCTCGACGTTTTTCTATCTAGATTTTCCAGTAACCAAGACCCTGCAAACGACGGCGTCTTACTGTAAAAGAAACATGTGATATTTCGTCGCGGAACGCGGAAATTTACCTAATCGCTGGGCCGACAGTTATTTGCGCGGAAGGATGAGAAGGGCGCGCTTTGAAGATTCCTTCGCTCGAATAAAACACCCGTTTAATCCGGTCCGGAGCGAAATTACCCCTACTACGGTCCCGGGATTCATAATTTCGATCGCGCGCCACGCGTTCTCGTTGTCCTCACATACTTGCGCGGAG